TTTATGATGAATTACAAGATGTTAATTAATTAACGAACTCGTACACAGTTCTGCTGGTCCCAAATCTAACACGTCTTCCCTTAATCTGTTTTTGACTTTTAACCTTATTAGACATGTCATATTTTGCTTAACTTCTTCTATTCTCAACAAATGTGATTCTACGAACTTAGCCAGGAATCCTAGCTAGGAAAAGCAAAAATAATTTTACTGTAGTCCTCTTCCACTCGAATCTACAAGTTTGAATCACGAATATTATTGTGTAGTAGATGTGTGATTTTGTGCACCATCCTCACAGGAAATATCTGCCCTCGTAACAAATTGAAAAGACAGTTTCTAGTTCTTTATGTTGAATATTTGATATTCTTATCAAATAATGCACGCTACGGAACTTATGTCTTACGAGTAAGTATATAATAGACAACATATCACTCTCTATGGATATTTTATAAGGAAAAAAAAAAACAAACAAAATCACCTTTAAAAATTTTCCCATTTTTAGTTTTTTTTGGGTAAGCTTTTCGAATTTACATCTATCATATCAATCTTGTCCAAATCTATGAGAGAAAGGCATAGTGAGAACATTCACAAAAGGGTGAGACTAATTGAATCCTATTGTTTGTGATCTGGGATTCATTTTTTTTGCTTCAAAAAAAAAAAAAAAGAAGAGGAGGGAATCAGCGACATTTTCCACCTTTCAGGGCAGACTACAGTGCAGTCATTGGTGCTTATTGTTTAGGCGGTTTACACAGAATAGGCGCAGACATGCAGCCCATTTGATCCCATGATATATATATCTTCAACTGACTCATCGAACAGGCGAAGACCCAAGCCTGGAACACTCTACGCCATTGCTTTCCATGGATTCAATTCATTATTTCGACATAAAGGATGAAGAAAAAGGAGAACCGAGAGCTCACAATTCAAAAGTCTCTTTACAGCTGAAGAATCAACTTGTCAATGACGAAACAAACAACAAAACTCTACTACTGCAACTTATTGAGCCTCTTAACTAATATAGAGCCATTATAAAGATAGGACTGAGTGGTTAGTGGAATCCATTGGCGTTACATGCAAACATATGTATATCATGCATGTGTACGTAACATTTTGCTTGTGCTGTATACGTCTGTTATTAAGAATTATCAGCTGTATTACTTTATACTTAGCAATACTATGGGCTTCATGTGAGGCCTATAAATAACTAGTGAAATTATAAGACAAAGTGGCATACACAGCAGCCACTAAATGGCATCCCAATAACTGGTTTGGATGAACTTTAGTCTCACCCTTTTGTTTTGTTTGAAATTCATGTTACATCACAAATGATGTTTTGATTTTGAATGTAAAATTCAGCAATGTTAATCTCAATCATAGGATGGTAATTCGATAATAGAGGTTTGAGATTCTGGAATTTTCTTGGAAAATAGTTTATTTTTACGGGACTAAAATACTTAGTTCTGACTAATTGTCATAATTCTGAATCATCATAAAACATCAATCATGCACTGTTCATGGTACCAACTAGTATTATTAATCCTGTTGTATGATCAACCCAAAAAAGGTCTTTTCGTAGTTCCTTCATCTCTCAATTGATGCATCGAGCTGAAGGCCACCACGATGGCCTGTGAGTTTTGAGCCCATGTCAGCCTAGACAATTTGAATCCAATAAACTTTAGGCAAAGAACGACCCAAATGTCAATCGAGCCCAAATGTCACTTCAGCCCATCAATGTGTCTGTTCGTTAGAAGTGTGTAGTTTGTACTTTATGTGCTAGTTCCGTGAGATGCTTCAGAAATTTCTCTATCCATTTGAGTGACAAATGGCTCTTTTTCTAACATAGACTGCATTGCCTGAAAAAAAAAAAAACATAGACTGAATTTTCTTTTTAAATGAAATTAATAATTTTACTAGATATTGTGAATACAAAATTCACTTCAGTTGGCTGGCTAGCTTAGCTCCAATTACCAATAGGACAAAAACAAAATGAAAAATGAAAAAAAAAAAGAAGAACCAATGGAAAAACTCTTCTTTTTTTTTTTTTTTTTCCTTTTACTTTATCTCGATAACTTTGTCATTAAAACAATAAAGTATTGCAAAAGGCATCAATTTGTTGTCGGATCAGGTACTTCAATAGTCAAAAGTAGAATTGGCAGATCAAAAGAACTCTATCCTCAGCAAAGTCATACAAAGAGAACAGAGAAGCTAAATCTGATCCACAAAAAAATGAGCAACCAGGCACCATTCTTGAATCTACCAGCACACGTTGTCTCTGATATTTTGTCCAGATTACCACCCAAGACTATCATCCAATGCAAATCTGTTTGCAAATCATGGCTGAGTCTGCTATCTGAATCTGAATTCACTAATTTACACCTGCTAAGATCTCCTCCTTGCCTGATCATAAACAACCTCGATTACCATCCTTCAGATTTGAATTGCTTCAGTTTAGTTGAATTCGAAGATCAGCCTGATCACCATGATTTTCAATATGTTGCAGGAACAAAAATCAAGGCCCCAAAAGGGTGTGTCGTGGAAAATGGTGCGACTGCTACCATGGTTGGCTCCATCAATGGCTTAATCTGCTTGAACGAATTCGATCATAATTATGATGCTGTTTGCTTGTGGAATCCAATCATACGAGAATCCATCACTCTTCCGATGCTAGAGGGGGTAAGTTCATATCCAAATATAGTAAGTTATGGATTCGGATCAAGCTCTGAAACTAGAAAATACAAGGTGGTTAGGATTTTTCAAGAGCTAGAGAAGCATACACGACGGATATTAAAGTCCAATTGCGATGTTTATACACTAGGGGAAGAAACAGAATCTTGGAGAAGAATTGGGCATGCCCCTTTCCTTTATAATAGTTGTCGCCCTCATGGTGTTTTCCTGAATGGTAATCTTCATTGGCTGATTGGTGATCAAGCTGGCTCTGAATTGATATCCTGCTTTGATCTTGAAACAGAGTTGTTTTCACCTTTCCCTGCTCCTCCAGAACTGAGCAAAGATTTCAATTTAGCTTGCTTGGGACTTTTTGCTGGCTGTCTGAGCTTGTGTGATAACACTTCTGATTTTGAGATCGTCATTTGGGTGATGAAAGAATACGGAATCACCAAGCTCTGGACTAAAGAAATTGTTATAGACAAGAAGCCCGCTGATCTTGTCGGGCCATCTTTTGAAGTTGTTCGAGTTTTTAAAGTTTTTGAAGATGGGAATATCTTGCTTTTGTGGAGGGATGACATTTTACTTTCCTATGATTCTCGGAGGCAAATCTTGCATCAGTCTGGCGTTCATAAACTCATCAAGAAAATTGATGATCAGATGAATGAAGATGGCTACCCTTGCATAGAAGTAATGGAATACGTTCCAACCTTTCTTTCCCTCGAGAGTTTTGGGATCCAGATGATGGAAAGCATAAACTAGAATCTTGGTACAGATGTTGGCTCAACTTTTGGAAGTTTCTCTTTCATTGGGATATTGTAAAAATACATCTTGTAGTACTACATCATGTATTGGGCAGAAACAATGATAAATGCTAGTGCAATTTATGCCCTGGTAGTGCAATAATAATAAAGAGAAGAAGAAGAAGAACTTCATTTTGATATCTCAAATATGGCATTGTCATCCTTGATTTTTGTTGGAAAATAATTATTTGCAGCTCCCTAATAATTAGTTCTGACTAATTCTCAGAATCATATGCCATCGTGAAGACAACCAATGCATTACTTTATAGCACCATGTGCTATTAATCTTTTTTGTACTTCTTAGTTGCCATTATACAGTTATTGTGGTTGGTTAATGGCTTAAGCCATTCGAGGGAATCGACATACCTCAAAATTTGGCCATAGATGCTGTACTATTCCTGCAAATTCTGATTCAACAGGCTGGCAAGTGGCAACTTCAAGTTACACGACTTAAAAAAGTACTCTAATTTACTTACCGAAGAATACGATGAAAGCCCTGTTGGATCCTTAATCCAACATTGGACTTATATGTGAATAATTATGTATTGCAAACTGTCAATTAAGGTTAAACCCAATTAAAGTGATCAAATATAGTTTGGATTTAATGTATCTAATAGGATGTTGGCCCTTTAATGTGTAGAAACTTATGGGCTCCTATTTCAATGATGGGCTGAAATAGGGCTCCAAAAGGTAACAGGAATGTTACCTATAAATAGGGTTATGGTCCCCAGGTCACAGGTATCGTTTAGTTGTCGTATTTCCTAATACCACAAAATAGCTCTTCCCTAATATCCCATCGTCAGGAAAGATACCAGAGAGAAACTAAAGGCTTCTCTCAAAGGATCGGTGAATACCTGTTGACCTGGAAGGCCACCCCAAATCTCTAGGGATTCAAGTATCAAGTTTATCAATATGGATTCAAGTACGCTTCCGCAATTATGTGTTAATTATTTCTCAATAATCGCCATAAAGATCTTGGGGTTTCATAGGTGATAGTTTTCACCAAAGGTTAAATACAAATAACCACCCTAACAAGCCCCACGTGAGTTTTGAGCCAATCTCGGCCAAATGCAGTGTTTTACACTCTTTGAATCCAAATATTTTAGGCCGAGGTCAACACAAAACTCATGACTCGTGCCTATCTGACCCATCAATTTGTCTCCAGGGTTGAATTCCCCAAGGAGTTGCAACTTTTTTTCTTCTTCTTCTTTTAACAATGCCAAGAATTTGAAATTGAATTGCATTCATAGATGAACTCCCAAGAAGTTGAAACACTTTATTTTTAAAAAAAAAATTTTGTAGTGAGTTAGCAGTTAATATTACTTTTTTGTTGCTCTTTTTAGGGAAGAAGATGCCTCCTTTCTTTGCAGTAATATTCTAGCAAATATCAACCTTTTGTGATTCGACAGTGAAGATGAACTGGACGACCGATGTATCATCCATCCATATCATTTAAAAAAAAAAAAAAACGGAAGCTACCAATCTCGAGCCTCATTGTTCCACTAATGGTCTCACCCACTACACTAATTGATCCCAATGCTTCCCTCTTCCAAATCCATATCCCAACTTAACAGTATTTATGGATATCCCAATGCTTCCCTCTGTCAAACCCTCATCCCAATTTGCTTGGGCCCTTCTCATCTTGCTCTTCCAAATTGGTTTATCGTCCTAGTCTTCACTATTACCACCTCTCGTGCTCCCAGAGTTTCGACGACGACGACGGCAGACGACCAATTATCCTCAGCCACCCATCCGCAGCAGCAGCAACGACAACAGATTACTCGACAGCTGCTTGCTCCTCCTCCTCCTGATCAGCATCCTGATGTTGTTGACCAAGCGCAATGTGAATACGGGAGGGTTTACGTATACGCCGACCTTCCTCCAATTTTCAACAAGAAACTGCTGGAAAACTGCATTATAGACTCTCGTAAATCCCAATGCGAGGCGCTGTCCGACGGTGGATTTGGGCCGGAAGCCACCACCGTTCTCGCCGGCATTGTCCCGCCTGAGCTTGCTCGTGCTTGGTACCGGACCCAGATGTTAGCGAGCGAACTTATATTTCACAGTCGAATTCTCAACTACAAGTGTAGAACCATGGAGCCGGAATCCGCTAAGGCATTCTACGTCCCATTTTATGCTGGACTAGCGGCCTCCAACATTTTATTCAGTGGCTACACTGCCAAAGAACGAGATGCACCCTTCTACACTTTCCTCGAATGGATCAAGAACCAGCATTATTGGACGAGATCCAACGGTTCTGATCATTTCCTTACTGTGGGTCGAACTTCATGGGACTTGAAAGTTGAAACGGGTCCGTGATGATCAAGCCTGGGGGACAAGCTTCCTCCTCATGCCCTTGATGAGAAAAATGTTCAGCTTCACAATAGAAAGAAGCCTAGGGGATCCAATGGAAGTTACCGTACCCTATCCTACCGGATTTCATCCCCGGACCGTGACCGAAATTAAGCAATGGCAGGAAGTTGTGCGAGGTAGAAAACGGACGAACCTCTTCACGTTTGTAGGGGGAAAGCGTTGATCTATAAAGAACGACTTCAGGGCTTTGCTGCTGGATCACTGTTACAACGAATCTGATTCCTGCAAAGCTATAGATTGTGCCAAGACAGCTTGCTTGGACAGCTCTACAGCGGCTCTTGAAATATTTCTGAGCTCAGACTTCTGTTTGCAGCCCAGAGGTGACTCGCATACGAGGAGGTCCACGTTTGATTGTATGCTGGCAGGTTCGATACCAGTTTTTTCTGGAAAGAAACGATTGTGGGTCAGTACGAGTTGTTTATGTCCAGTGAATTGAAGTCTTTCTCGGTTTTTATACACAGGAATCGGGTAAGGAATGGGACTTCGATAAGGAAAGTATTGGAGGGATATAGTGGAGAAGCTATCAAGAGGATGAGGAACACGGTAATTAACATGATTCCAAGGATTTCGTACAGCTTTTCTGGAGGAAGAACTGGCAATCTCAAAGATGCGTTTGATATAGCTGTGGAGGAAATGCTAAGAAGAATAGTTTCAAATAAGCCAAGCCCTAAGGGACCATCATCATGAGTCACACAATCAATTTTGATATACCTACATCTCAAAGGTTGTTACTGGCTGTGAAGATGACAACGAGTAGAGGAAAGTTTTCCCTTTTTTTTTTGTGGGGGAGGGGGGTGTGGGTGGGCTGGCGGTGTTCTCCAAAATATATACTTGATTGAATGGTGACTAACTTGTTCAATTGCTTTTCTGAGTTTAACCTGTAACTCATAGCCAATTTAAGGAAAGAATTCCTTGAATCTACCATACCACGTTATCCAGATTACTATAACCAAGACTTTCATCCAATGCAAATGCGCTTATGATCAGATGAATGGAGTTGGCTATGTCGAAGAAAGCTACCCTTGCATAGGAGTAATGGAATATGCCCTCAAGCTTTCTTTCTCTCAGAACTTTGGGATCGAGATTGTTAAATGAATAAAGTAGAATTGGTATGCTCGCTCGAGTAATATTTGAAGTTTCTTTTTTCTTTGTGATATTTTTTAAAAATATTTTACCGATATATCTTATAGCACCTTTTTTTTTTTTTTTTTGGTAAAAATATATCTTATAGCACTACTTGTTATATTGACGGGCACAAACAATGGCAAGTATTAGCTCACGTTATGCCCAAACTTTGCTCTTGGTATGAGTATGACGCGCCTGAATTTGTGTCTAATTAATGATGATATTCATTTTACTCGGGTTCTCTGAATAGTCAACTTCTTGCAAGACTTTACATTTTTTTCAAGTGGTTAGCCAACTAGAATTTTGTAAAGTCTCAAGAAGAGAATACTCTTAAGACACTCTAGTAGTAGTGTTATATCACAAGACGATGTAACGAGCTTGGAAGTCTACAAAGACTACCTAAGCATGTGCGATAATAGTTTGGATTTTGAAGTTTCTATTTGGATAATGAAGGATTTTGGTATCAAGAATTCGTGGAGTAAAGAAATTGTCATCGACAAGAGCCACATAGATCGAGTTGGTTGCTACTATGAAGTAGTGCACATTGTCAAAATTTTCAAGGATGGATAAATCTTGTTGATGTGGGATGACTTTTATTTCCGTAAAAACAATAATCGGACAAAAACATTGAAAGACGTTGACATTGTGTTAGGTTCATGAATAAAAAATTATATTTTATATTGATTCAAGAGATGAAGAAAGAACGATTAATATGTACCTAAGGATCCAATACCTAATAATTTAAGATTTTATATCAGAATTGAGTTTTTGACTTATATATTGAACTTTTTGATAAACTCTTTCGAGATGTTTCTCCTTAACACACCAATGCACTCATTGGGGTTGAAAATTCCAGCTTCGAAGTAATGGATTGTGTTCCAAGCTTTTTCCCGCTAAGGGAGCTTGGATCGGAGATGGTAAAAGATACATTCCAGAACATAAGGGTCTCGTCCTGGATTGCTTCTTATAATCTTGACTTGGTTGCATTGTGATCCTTCCTTTATAAATAATTTATTTGATGCATATTCCACCCTCTTGTCCTCCTTAATTAAATATCACAGGAATTGTATCATTTTGTGGTTTCCCAAAGCCACCAGAAAATTTCAAACCTGTTTACTAAATGTAATCTTACATTTTGGTATATTTATGCTAAAGTAGTATCTGAAGCATAAATTTTATAGTATATGAAAGTAGCTAGCTACTTATTTCTCTAAATACAAATTATTGGCCTTTTGAAGGCTCTTCAAACATGATCCACCTCAAAGTTCAAACCCTGCAACATACGAGTCAACAAAGTTGATTAAATTAGATTGCTGAAATTAAAATGAAAATTTGCTAAGATAAAACCCTTACTGTTCATAGTCTATGTTGACTTTTCCAGCATTTGGATCGGCAATGAGAGCAAATGCTTCTTGAGAGAGATCAAAGGTTGCTCGACAACCCGGAGGACAGTAATCAATTATTTGAACCACAACACTACCCCTACAAGGTTGTGCGATCCCTTCGCTATTAGTTCCAGTGCAAGTAACTCTATAGTTTCTTCCACAAGCTGCCCCGTTATCCCATATTACGTTACTCGCAGCAGCTATCAACGGCAACGTCCCATTGACTCGGACGCCAATGCAAGCATTTGCTGGTTTATGACGAGAAGAGATTTCATATATGTGAGATGGGTTTTCAGGTTAAAGTCATGCATGCTTCAATCTTGCAGCTTTCACAGGCTGCAGATTTCATGAAAGTTGTCTTGCATGCTTATAGGCTAGTTACATTTCTAATTTTATTTTATATCTTTAAGCATTTTTAAAAATCATCCACAATTTTTCCCTTCAGTTGTGACATTAAAAGTTCTTTATTGAAAACACGAAGTTTTGTTTCTTTTCATTTCTTGGAAACATGCAGGAAATAATTTCATTAACCCCTTTCTAAGCTAGGGTTTTTAGTCAACTGTGGAAAAGGGTGTTAATTTATCGTGTTTCATACATGCCAATATAAGCACATAAACATATGGATGGATATCTATGTGATCGTTTGTGTATCATATCTAATCAATAGTATATCTTCCAAAGTGTTAAATTCCCATATAGAAAATGAAAATGAGAAAAGATGTTGCCCTTTTCAAATTCGCTAGTCTTGTGCTTTGAGTAATAATCGAAAGAAACACTTACGACTGTAGGGGGGTGTATAGAAAGTGGCTGTCCCCGGAATTGCATAAGCTACAGAAGCTAAACTTGCCACCATGCCAATAATAATCATGAGAACTCTCATCCTGGCTTCCATTTTCTTCTGTCTCAAAATGATTCGAATAGTAAACTTTGAGTTTGAGCTCAATTTTGCACGCAGAACGGGAACCAGCCTTTTATAGCGAGGGGAAGAAGATATGACAACTGGACCATGTCGTAGTATTTTTGTAAAGTTTATATTATATATAAACTTAGTGTCAAATTTTCCACCATTTAGGCAATTAGGTGACTGTTTTTCCAAAGAAAGATGGAATTGCGTCGCTGACCTTTCAAATTTTCAGACTGCATTATTTCTCAGATCTTATCACATTCCCACTTTGTTAATTCAAGAAAAGCTATTAGAAGTCAGAAGTATGTAGATTAATTAGACCATCCGCATAGGCAGAAATTTCTTCTGTACAAACATAAAAGTTGTTATTAGAAGTGCAAAACGGTCAAGATATTTGATTGTTCCCCAGGTTTTAGTGTCTCATCATGCACGGCATTGATCTTTCTGTCCATATCTCTATGTGCTAAATTGAGCTATCTCGTCTGCTATATAAGAGTAGATAATGGTGATCAATTTTGACGAGGAGGTGAATGATGATAGTTGACTGTTTTGAACTAAATAATAATAATAATAATAACAATTAAATGATAATTGACAGATAAAAAAGTAATCGATCAGAGTTTATTATGAGATCGTCTGAGTTGATTATTTATTTTTATTTTGAAAACTGATATTCACACAATCTTTTTAGATTTTTGGACACTTTTTAAAAGTATTTTACATCGAATGACAAGCATTTATGATGGGCATATCTAGTAGGAGTGTACGAGAAAATTTTTAAAAAAAAAAAAAAAAAGGTGTGACAGAGGTAGCCGACCCCAAAATTTTGAAATTCCTAATTTGTGCCGTATACTTTTACTTTGACAAATTAAATTGCTATTAATCTTTGCTGCCAGATTTCATATCTAATCCTTGCCCGTAAACTTGATTATTAGTGACTTTTTTAATCACTCCATGTCCTTATCAATTTAGTAAATTATTTTTTATACATGACAATAATTAAAGATATTTAATAGGAGTAATTATCATTTCAAGCTGTATAGTATATATGTCCGTAATTTTCATGGAAAACTGTAAAGGGGGATGAGACCCGTCAATGGAATGCAAGGAAAAGATTTAAAAAAAAAAATGCTCGAGAACAAGTTTCAGGTTAACGCACTGACCCGGAAATAATGAACCAAGCCCCTTCTGTTGCATAACCTTAAAAGCTATAACAAAGTCTTTAATAATAGTTGTGTATGAAAAATCTGTCATAAAGTTTGATTGTTTGTTCCGTTGTGTTGCTTCAGCTTAATTTTGCTGATGATATTAAGTTGTGCTTATGAGAAGGTCATTGCTATATATATATATATATATATGATAATGAATTAAATCATGGATGAGTTTCGTCAATTGTGATTTGGGCGTCGACCAGCATTAATTATTTTCATCAACATTAATTGTCGACGTACGTAATTTTTGTCAAAAAAAGGCCGCTCTGGGATGATTGAAGGGGAAATATCTGTTGGTGCCAATTCAACTGCAATTAATTTATGTGATTGGTCAAAGTTCTATACCCTTGATGCTTTTGTGGATATTTTCAATCTGTTAATTTGTACTGTTTTTTCTTTGTACATTTAACAAGCAGCACCAAACCATTGAACCAATCTACTCTACTGAAATTAATTTAATTTATTTGATTCACCAATCTACACTATCTTCCTTTTACAGTCAAAGTGAGAACAAGTACTGTAGGACTTGAGAAGAGACATGGAAATTGGACAATTTGGCCTTATAGAGTTACGGTATAGCAGCCACGAACAGGATATCAAATCAAACACATCTTCCTCCCTGACTTTGCTCTTTTCCCTTTTTTTTTAAAAAAAAAAAATTGTTTTATCACCATCCCTTTGATTTAAGATGAAGTCAGGTGAAAGTCTGGCTCCTACTTTAAGAAGATGAGTTGAATTCTCCTTTCTTGCTGCAATTCTAGATAGGCAGATAGAAAGAATTTACTATCTCTTTATGTTACTAACGCATACAATTTGTAGGAGAAGGGAATAATATTGCCTGGTTTATATAATGCACCAAACAGCTTCGACAGCTTTTTGCTGGTTATTATATTTTGACACATATATGCTACTCAGTAGTAGCTCATACATAAATCTTGTACCATATAAAATCCCACAGAGAAGCTACTTATTTCTAAACATCATTTATTGGACTTCTGGGAGCTTTCTGATTCCAATCAAAAGTTTAAACGCTGAAAAAGTCAAAAAAATAATAATAAAGATATGTATTATTAAAAAAAAAAAATACTGCATGGTTATCTGAAGAGAAATTTTGCCAAGATATATAAGAGGCTTACCAGTTATATTCGATTTTAACTTTTCCAGCATCTGGATTTGCAATTTTGGAAAATGCTTCTTTGGAGAGATCAATGGTTCCAGCACAACCGGGAGGACAGTAATCAACAATTTTAACCACAACACTACCCCTGCATGGCTGTGGGATCCCCTGGCTTGTCGGTCCCGTGCATCTAACAGTGCACGTTTTCCCACAAGCTTTCCTATTGTTCCATATTGTGTCACTTGCAGCAGCAATCATCACCCCATTGTTTTGGTAGCCATAGCAAGAAGAGGCTGGTTTAAGAAAGAAGCGATGAACGAGATTTAACATAGGTCATGTGGATTAAGGTCATGCTTTAATAAGGCAGATAACAAATGCAGCAATGCCAATGGAATGCTTCCATGACTCGTAACAGCTGAGGATATATTACAGTTGCTTCCGTTTTCAACGTTCTGAGCTTGCAAATGTTTAGTGAAATCTTTCTATAAAATTGCAAGTGACTTGCACAGTTATTTGAAGTAATCCATCTCCTGAGAATAGCTAGAACTTCGTTGGCTACGAAACGTATTCTCTTCAGCATTGCTAGATCTTTGGCTATGAATAATGAACATATAGAGCAGTTTACAGAAAACTTACGAACATAAGGTGGTGTGTAGAAAGTGGCCGTTCCCGTAGCTGCATGAGCAATGGAAACAAGACTTGCCACCATCCCAATCATCATAACAACTCGCATTGTGGCTCCCATTCTCTCCTCTCCGAAAAGCATCATATAAATTGAAACAATTCACTCTTTGAGTTTTAGGTTGATGAGCAAACCAGGCGAGGTTTGTACCTTTTATAGATGAAACGTTGCAAAGGATTGGCTGTGGCCTAAGTCTATAAAATTTTGGTTAGGGACTCCAAATGGTCCCTGAACTTTTGGTTTACTATTACTGTGGTGAACAAACCCTCTTAATTGTCGTATTTTTTATTTTTTGAGCAATAGTATCTGATTTTTTCAACATGGTTCCACTCCAAGTTTGTGAGGAGAAAAATAGAACAGACATATTAGCTACTCTAATTAAGAAAGAAAAACGTTAAAATGAAGCCCATAATAGACAACAATCTAATTTTCTTGTATATGGATTTCCTATTTTTTTTCCCCTTCAAGATTGAAGGTCTAAACATAGAGTTACCACTAAAACTTGGGGGCTAGAGTGACACTGAGCAAATAGTTAAGGGACCTCAAGTCATTAACCAGTATAATTTTGTTAGATTCACTTGATAAACGAGTAAGCGTCTATGTCAAATTCTTGTTACTTCCAAGGTATTTTGCTTTTATAAGGAAAAACTAAAAAAAATATTAATCTGATGTAGATAATTAACATGTTAAAAGTATCTTCCATCCATTGCTTAAGTTTCTTAAATACCAAAGGACTAAGAATTTCTTTCTGGCCAGGCTACAGCTAAGAGGGACCAAAATTTTTAAGGACTTAAGCGTCTAATGCACGGTATTATCCCATTTCCAGTGCTCAATTAAGAGAAGTAATCGCCTATTGTACAACAGAAATCCCAAGTAAGTGGTAATCTATCACGGAAATGTAGAACCCTAATGACAATTTGCTGTGTCGATTGTTTTTATTTTATTTATGTTTGATTCTTGAGTTAATTGTTGGTTTCTGATTTTCATAACTTTCGAGAACCCAAAAAAAAAAAAAACAGGCAATTGAGGAAGATGAAATATACAAAGAAATTTTTCTCGAATTAGAATAATTTAGGTCGTGTGCTTCTTTTTCTGGGAAGGAAAAAAAAGGGGGAAATATCTGCCTGTGGCAACCTTGGACTACTTTCCTCAATTTCCTCCTGGACATGGTGTAGCATTTATTGAATAATATTTATCTCCTTGCGCCGTCGGAGACCCAGTTTCTCAATACCATAATTAGGCAGCCAACCTCGACTCCCAGATGATATCAACCCTATCTACCTCCATGATGTCACTATTGGAATTTTTTTCCCCACACAAATAACTGTATCGTGTGGGAAAAAAAGAATTCAATACTGCAAAAGAGCATTAAAAAAGAAAAAAAAAATGCTGCCACACAGAATAAAAGAAGTTCCCAGTTTCCATGTAGTTGATCTTATACTACTTTTGTTGAATCTTCGACATATGATCATCGACTTCTGACTTCGATCCTCATCATTTGATGCTTGTAGGAGGTTTCAAACTCTGCAATTAGCAAAACAAAGATGAAGAATGAAGGGGATAAACGAGATTATAATTCCGTAATCTAATCCACATAAAATTAATAACTGTAAATTAGAGGTGGCAATTTGTCCCAAGTCCCAATGGGTTACCCATGCCCATGGGGACTTTGGGCGGGTTGGGTATTGGAATTTGATATTGGGTTTAAAATGGGACAAATCCCAATTATACTCATTAATTGATGGGAAATTTTGGAAAATACTTGGGTACCCATTGGGCTCAAATAGCAAGGGCTCCGTTTGGATTAGCTGTTTTTGGGGGTATTTTTGAAATATTTTATTGTAACAGTGTCTATGAAAAAATTTTACTATAATTTTTTTTTAAATATTTGATATACTAATGTGGATGGGATGTTTTTTGAGTTATTGTATATTACTGTAACATTGTATTTGAAAATTTTATTTTTTGAAAAAATAGCCAATCCAAACAGAGTCTTAGATTCAAAAATTATCTTTAACAATTTTTATAGTCATACTAGCGAATATAATCTAGCAGTCTTCCTAATCATTATCCACAAGAATTTCCAA